GGCGCAATTGGTGTGCGTACCATTGATGTCACCAGTCTCCGCCCAGTACTTGCGCGCGCTCTCACATTCCTGCTCCTCTGTTACAGCCAACAACATTCCAACGCATGTCAGTCCGTGCAGCTTTCACAAGTGTGAATTTGGATATGTTCGAAAAAAAAAACAAAAATGATAAAAATGTTATATATATACCGCCGGTCCGCGGCTGCAGGATGAGATCGGCGGCCTCCTTCCACTGGCCCTGCAGCAGTGCGATGCCGACGCGGTGCGTTGCCACCGACCCCGTGCCGAAGCGCTGCAGACCTAAAAACGCGCACGTGAGCCAGCATAGGCGGGAGTCACAGAAACGAAAGAAAAACAAGACATATCATAAAAAAATAAGAAAGAAAGAAAAAGAGAGTTAAAAAGAGTGGCTAACCGTAGTAGTTTACGAAGCCGGTCCGCTTGAGCTCAGTGAGGGAGTGGTTGATCTCCTCCTCCGAGGCCGACACCTCCCTGGACAGGACAAAGGAAAGTATCAGTTTCTTCCAAGCGCGTACGTGGTAGTGCGGACACAACTACAGTGCGTGCGGTGGCGTACCGGAGCACGACGGAAAAGCGGTTGCCAAAGAGGTCACCCAGACGAAGCTGTTGCGACACATAACTACACACACACACCACACACACACACACACACACACGACAAAGGTGAATGATGACTTCTCTTCAGTAAATAGAGCAAGTGCGGATTGGCGCGTACGAGAAGTTGCCCACGCGCATGCCGTACAGCTTGGCGTTGAGTCCGCGCAGCTGCTCGGCCTGATGATGAGCGAGAAGAGGGAGAATGTTGATTAGGCCGATGTGAACCACCGGTGGGGCAGCGGCCGGGAGTGCAACGTACGCGCATGTGATAGATGGTCATGTGTTGGGTGGTGACCCCTCGCTTGTCCTTGGTGCCGGCATACGAGAACCGACTGGCGCGCGCACTGTTCGCACCGTCAAACAAACACAACACGCAATTCTTAGAGATTGCACGATGGAAAGCAATGCAGTGTAGCGACCAATCGAATGGGAGGAACGTGGCGACGTACTTGGTGAACTTGGCGAGGAGGCCGACCGCGGCGGTGGTGTCCTTGTTCTCCTTGTAGAGCACGAACTGCAGGTAGTCACCCCAGCACGTCGGCCATTGCCTGCACAATACAATAACAACGTTGCCAATCAGTCACAGAAACAAACCAACACAAGACCTATGCTGTGTGTGTGGTGTGCAGTGGTTAAAAAAAGGTGGGGGTTTTGGGGCATGAATCGAACATGCGCCTCCTTTTGCTGTGTTCTGGTGCGGTGGATATGTCACACGAGAGAGGAGGGCCAGAGCGAGCCTGCGGGCCTCGCTCCTCACTCTCAAGTGTTGTTATCTTTTTTGGTGGGGTCCCATCAAGATTAAGGCTGCTGATTTTTTAGAGCAGGGTTCGTCTTTCGGTCGACGATGCCCATCGTGTATGATTGGTTTTGATTTATGAGGTCAGACCGTCCCCGTTGTCGCCACAGTGGGCGACTGGACTTGGCCTTGGCACACAATGTGCACCTTCAACTGGTTGAGGAGTTCAGAGAGGTTTGCTTGTTACAATCAGCGACACGCCGCACGCAGCGCGCCGAATCAGACGGTGATTAGCCGTCGTCATCGGTTTTCGTCCGAAGAGAACACACACAGCAAAGGCGAGATTCCAGCTACTCCACCCAAACACCCCCGATCGAGAAAACAGAGAGTCGGCCTGTTTTGAACGGCGCGTCTATGCTCCAACACAACCATTGTGGGTCTCGCAGTTTAACTGAAACTCCTATTAAAATTTGTACATATTCCCGTTTATTAAATTTGAATATAAGATATTATTTAATTTTACTCTTTAAAAAAATTATAATTAATAAATAAATAAAATGAATGGGCTTGGTTGGGTACCGCTTGCGTTGGTTGGCGGCGTCGCTGCGGCCGCCGGTGCCGGCTGGTCGGGCGCCGCGACGATCGGCGCGACCGACGACCATGACCACCACGCTGTCGTCCTGCGTCTTCGTGTCGAGGAAGCCCTCGAAGTGGACCCGGAAGGCCTTGTGCACCTCCGTTCGCTGAGACTTGTCGTCGCTCGGCGCCAGCTTGAGCTCCTTGTACTCAACAATCCCGGCGTCGCGACCGCCGCC